CGTTTAAATAGGGATACAGGTGGACCCATTGCAACAATGAGATGTACAAGTCAAGTCGTTATGTTGAAAACGAACTTTACAACTTTGGTGACGGGTGGGGGGGAGGGGAAGTGGGGAGGATTGTGCTGGGGGGCAGGGGGAGGATGGGACTGGATGGAAAGGGGAAACAAAGGAGGAATCTGCAATGCTTGATAAGAAATGTACTCATTATCTTGCCCATGTAATTGTAACACCTCTGTACAGTATTTTCACAATAAAAAAAAGAAAAAAGAAATGAAGTATATGAGATCAATTAGCCACTATTATATCACCATGGTTATAGTTGAAACAGGATAAGAAGAGCTACAGGCTATGTTGAAATCATAGCAGAAAATTTCCCAAATCTTGGGGAAAATATAGATGAACCAGAAACAGGAGATTTTTACTACAACAGTGGAAAGAAATGAACCAGAAATAAACCTATTCATGGTATAGCACTGGTAAACTATAAAAAGTCTAAAACAAAGAAATAATATTAAAAGCTACATGCAAGAAAGGCCATGTAACATTTCCCGGTGTGCTCATGAGAAGAGCCATAGATTCTCAACTGATACCCTAAAAGCCAAGGCAATAGACACTCTAAAATCAATGTTAATCTAGAATAATATGTCCAGAAAAGTTATTCAAAATTAAAATAGAAATGAAGACCTTCCACGACAATCATAAATGAATAAAATTTATGACAATGAATCTAGCATTGTGTGAGATCTTCAAGGAAATTTATGCTACAAACATAAAACAAAGTAAAACACAATAGTAGGAGCACATGTAAAAATAATCCACACTTCAATAGCAGAAAGTAGAGTTAGGTCAGAGTCAAATGTTATGAAGTTGGGTAAACAAAACCTAGAGAGTATTAATCAAAATTATTATATAAAGAATTCTGTGTGTGTGTGTGTGTGTGTGTGTGTGTGTGTGTGTGTGTGTGTGTGTGTGTGCTGGTCCAGGGGCTTGGACTGAGCTTTGGTACTGTTCCTAAGCTTTATGGCTCAAGGCTAGTGCTCTATCACTTGAGCTGCAGCTCCACTTCCGGGTTTTTGGTAGTTAATTGGAAATAAGAGTCTCACAGATTTTCAGTCCAGGTTGGCTTTGAACTGTGGTTCTCAGATCTCAGCCTCCTAAGTAGCTAGGATTATAGGCATGAGCCAACAGCACTCTCATCAAGAAATACTTCTTGAATGATCTATTTTGGCTTTATTTTTACTAGCACGTTTAACTCTAATAATTATAGTTTCCAGAATCTGAATCTGAATACCTGAAAAAACATGAAATAAACATTTCATAAAATAATTACTTAAAATCATTCTATATAACCATTATCATTCTCTTCACCACTACTACAATTCTGGACACAAAGATAACATTATTTCAATGATTATATGGACACCGTATATATTTAACAACTGGTAATGTTTACTTTTTAATCAAGACAAAGTTAAAATGGAACTATAATTACCATGTCATAAAAACAAGACCATATGAATTTTCATGCATTTCAAGATTGTAAACTAAGAGTGTGTGTACTTGTATTATTAAAACATTATTTGCATAGCTGAATAAATATTTAATTAAACATATACAAATCTTTGATATTTCCACTATATCATGGCTTCATAAGTATCACTGAGAGGACTCTTTCCCATATACAATTCTTTTCACTGCATCTTTCACATCTCTGTTTCTCAGACTGTAGATCAGAGGGTTCAGCATTAGTATTATAAGTGTGTAGAACACAGCTACAATCTTGCTTTGCTCTGGAGAGGACAGGGCCCCAGGCTGGGCATACATGAAGAAGACAGTTCCATAGAAGATGCTCACCACAGCTATGTGGGAGCCACAGGTGGAGAAGGTCTTTCTCCTTCCTTGGGTGGAGGGAATCTTCAAGACAGTGGAGAGGATGTACCCATAAGACACCACAATCACTGTGGTGGTGGTGATGATGATGAGAGCAGAGAGAATGAACAACACCATTTCATTCACAAAGGTGTCAGCACATGAGATCTCAATCAGGGCAGAGACATCACAGAAGAAGTGGTCCAGTCTGTGTTCCCCACAGAAATGCAAAGTGAGAGCAAAACTTGTATATATTACAGAATTGATGCATCCACAGACATAAGATCCAGTTACCAGCTGAACACAGACTTTGTGGGACATGTTGACATGATAAAGGAGAGGAGGGCATATGGCTGAGAATTGATCAAATGCCATTACAGACAGAAGAAAGGCTTCAGTGGTGGCAAATAAAGCAAAGAAGAAAAACTGAGCCAAACACTCATTTTATGAAATTTTCTTTCCACTACTCAAGAAGTTGACTAATATTTTGGGAGCAATGCAAAGCTCCAGATAGGACAAGAACTGTTTTGGTTTGGTTTTTGGTCTGTCCTGGGCTTCTACTCAGGACCCCATCCCTGAGCTCTTTCACTCAAGACCACTTTGTGCCACAGGGCCACTCAGAAAGGACAAGTTTCTAAAGAAGAAATACATAGGTGGGGCTGGGAAGGTGGCTCCGTGGTAGTGTTTGCCTTGCACGCATGAGGCCCTGGGTTCGATTCCTCAGCACCACATAAGCAAAAAAAGCTGGATGTGGGGCTGAGGCTCAAGAGGTAGAGCACTAGTCTATAGGTGTAGAGCTGAGGGACGGCGCCCAGGCCCAGAGTTCAGGCCCCACAAACGACACAAAAAGAAAGAAAGAAAGAAGTGTTTGTATCTTGGAGTTCATAGTTATGATAAGCACCATGTTGACATTCGGTACCACAATGGCCATGTAGATGACCAAAAACACTAAGGAAAAGAAGATATGGATCTTGGGAGCAGTCCTAAATCCCAGCAGAATAAACTCAGCGATCTCTGAGTCACTCTTATTCAGGTCACTGTTCATAATCAATGTGTAGGAAGAGATTGAGGAATAGTAAACAATGAAGGGAATTATGATCAGATTATTCATTTTGGTTAAAAAATTACACACACAAAAACCCAAAAAATATTGGGGAACCATCCTGGAAGAATATGATTTTATATTGTTTCCAAGACATTGCGAAGAACACTAAGGATAAGAGTATCTGTAGCTTGGGAGCAGTTCTAAATCCCAGCAGAATGTCCTCCCCCGCCAACCCACCACCACCGTGATCTCAAGAGACATTTGTTTTTCACTTTGGTTTCATGATTTTGTCATCAGCTAATTGCCATTATCAGCCACCTCCTTTAGAGCAAGGTGAAATACAGACATTGCCATCTAGTCCACAAGGTGTATTTTACTGATGATATAACATGAAGGAACACAGACTTCTGAATTTTAGGATGACAATTGAGTTTGACTGATGATCCTGGTTTATTTTAATAGCAGTTTAGCTTTGTAATTTGCTGTAGAACATTAACACATGACATTGAATCTTTCACATGTAACAAGAAATCTTTCAGATCCTGACCAAACACTATCTTTTCACATCTCAACTTTATATTGTTCTCTCATTATTATTCTCTCTATAGTGACATACGTTGTCTGTTGCAGTTTATCTGCCAAAAGAGTAGCATTTCTTCTTTTTTTATGTCCTGCAATGTAATCAGACTATTATCTTTCTTTCTTCCTCTCTACATTTCTTCTTCTTCCTTCCTTCCTTCCTTCTGTCCTTTCATCTTTCCTTCCTTCCTTCCATCTGTCCTCTCTTCCTTCCTTCTTTTCTTCCTTCCTTATCTCTTTTTGAACACGAGAAATGCAACGGAGGTTTCTATAAACTTGATCAGAGACATGCCTTTACTTTTAAGAAGTATAACCTGAACAATGAAGAAATACAATTCCTGTTGCAAAAGACTTCCTGTTAAACAAACATTTGGTTCTACCTTTTCTGTTTTTACCTCTTCATGGATAAATGTGAGTCCAAATATGTTTCAGTGTGTCTGAGGTAAGAAATCATAATCATTACTGAAAACACTAAAATCAATTGGTTAATATATCTGCTTATTTACATTGCTCTATAAATATGAGGAACAAATATAATTCTTATGGAAAAGGCTTGCATGATCAGTTCAAGTAGAGCCTTGTAATACATACAGCTCCGTATGTGGGATAAGTGAGTTGATGATAAGTGTCATTTGTTTTAAAAAAATTTGTTTGCTATGTTATCTATTGAGAAAGTTTCTTGTGATGCTTAAAAGACTATATATTTTGAAGCTGTAGGTATAAAAATCTGTAGATTTTCATTTGATCTGTAGATGTTCATTTTGTCTACAGTGTCATTTATTTATTTAATGTTAATTTTATTTTGTTGTAAAGGTGTACACTGTCATTTAATTCTGAGGTTTCTTCATTACTTTTGTTTTAACCTTTCTATTGTTGTAAGTAAGGTATGGAATTTACCCAATATTATTATGGTGTGTCTATTGAGCCTTTCATTCTAGTAGTTTATGGGAGGTTTCGTTTGTTTGTTTGTCTTTTGTCGGTGTGGGGCTTGAACTCAAGGCCTGGGCACTTTCCCTGAGCATCTTTGTGCACAAGGCTAGCACTCTACTAGTTGAGCCTCAGTGCCACTTCCAGTTTTTGAGTGGTTAATTGGAGAGGTATCATGGGAAGCTCTATGTGGAGTCTTTTGAGGAACCTCCATACTACTTTCCAAAGTGGTTGAACAATGTAGTAAGGTTCCCTTCTGTCCACATCCCCTTCAGCATCTGTTGTTATTAGAGTTCTTGATTATAGCCATTCCAATTGGGGTGAGGTGGTATCTCAATGTTTTGATTTGCATTTCACTTTTGGGCATTTACCCGAATGATCACAAACAAGACCATACTAAAGCTACCAGCACAACTATGTTTATTGCAGCATTATTTACCATAGCTAAGATATGGAACCAACCCAGATG